AGGCCCCAGTGGCAGGGTTCGCATGCCTCCCCACCACCCATCTCGGCACACCCCTCACACGTTTCGTGGCCCCATAGGGAGCTCCACCGAAGGCCCCAGTGGCTGCGTTCGCATGCCTCCCCACCACCCATTTCGGCACACCCCTCACACGTTTCGTGGCCCCATAGGGAGCTCCACCGAAGGCCCCAGTGGCAGGGTTCGCATGCTCCCCACCACCCATCGCGGTGGCCCCATAGGAAGCTCCACCGAAGGCCTCACGCATGCACACCCATTTCGGCACACCCCTCACACGTTTCGTGGCCCCATAGGGAGCTCCACCGAAGGCCCCAGTGGCTGGTTCGCATGCCTCCCCACACCCATTTCGGCACACCCCTCACACGTTTCGTGGCCCCATAGGGAGCTCCACCGAAGGCCCCAGTGGCTGGGTCCGCATGCCTCCCCACCACCCATTTCGGCACACCCCTCACGCGTTTCGTGGCCCCACAGGGAGCTCCACCGAAGGCCCCAGTGGCTGCGTTCGCATGCCGCCCCCGCACCAATTTCGGCACACCCCTCACACGTTTCGTGGCCCCACAGGGAGCTCTGGCTGCGTTCGCATGCCGACCCCACGCCAACTTCGGTGCACCCCTCACACGTTTCGTGGCCCCATAGGGAGCTCCACCGAAGGCCCCAGTGGCGCGGTTCGCATGCCTCCCCAACACCCATTTCGGCACATCCCTCGCACGCTTCGTGGCCCCATGGGGATATCCACTGAAGGCCCCAGTGACTGGGTTCGCATGCGCCCCCACACCTATTTCGGCACACCCCTCACACGCTTCGTGGCGCCATAGGGAGCTCCACCGAAGGCCCCAGTGGCTGCGTTCGCATGCCGCCCCCACACCAATTTCGGCACACCCCTCACGCGTTTCGTGGCCCCACAGGGAGCTCCACCGAAGGCCCCAGCGGCTGCGTTCGCATGCCGCCCCCACACCAACTTCGGTGCACCCCTCACACGGTTCGTGGCCCCATAAGGAGCTCCACCGAAGGCCCCAGTGGCAGGGTTCGCATGCCGCCCCCACACCCATTTCGGCACACCCCTCGAACGGTTCGTGGCCCCATAGGGAGATTCACCGAAGACGGTACTCACACCAGCATTACTGACAACTGCATATCGTTGGGTCCTTCGCCAGGTTAATTTTAAGGGGTACTCGATTTCCAATGCTTGCTTGGGGATTTCGCCATGCGCGCGCGTCGACGCGCGCGCGTGCATTTCGTCATTTTCTTTGCAAGTGATTCTTGAAACCTTATGGTTGCTGATGGACGAGTGCGCGCGTAGTAAATGTTGCAAGGGAAGCGGTGGGGGGGCGATGCCGGCCTGGCTGGGTTAGTATGAATGCACAGGTATGATGAATCTACATTCAGATTCACAAGCGTCTTGCGTAGGTCCTTGGGGAATCGATATGTCGGGGGGGGGGTAACAGTTTATTTGTTTATCAAAAGGAGAATCGACATGGCGCACTCTATGTGGTGCCAGTACTTCCCGTTCGCAATGAGTTGCCCACTCTACTGCTCGCGCAATCGCCCCCGCCCGCCCATTTGCAACTGGGCATGCAAAACCCACGCGGCGGTGATTGCGATGGGCGCTTGGTTTTGGCTGGTGCATCTTGGCGGCCGCGCTTGCCCGTCGAGCTAGTTGGGTGCTGCGCGCCGCCAGCGCGTCCGCCGCGGCGCCGGCCGCCGGGCATTTCCCGGCGGGCGCTTCATTGCGAGTCGACATGGGGCGGGCGCGATAGCACGGCAACGTTTGCGCCGGTAGGCGCGACTATGATGTTTGCGATGCTGATGGCGATGATGAGGGCGACGACGGCAAGGCCAGCGACGGCGCCGATGCCGATCGCGCCGACGACAACGGAACCCTCGCGTCGGCCACGCAGGTCAGGGAAGAAGTTCGACATTCGCGCATGGCCGGCGCGCGCGAGAGTTGCCCGCGCGGCGCTATTTGAAACAGATCCCCCCCCCCCCCAGCGCGCAAGGGAGTTCGAATGAATTTGACGCGCGGCGCATGGGGCCCGCTCGACAGATCTTATGCACCAGCATGGATCAAACTTATGGTTGCCCTAAAAATTCGCCGGGGCGCGAGCGCAGCAGATTGCAGAGCGGCGCGTTTATATTTTCGGGGCGCCCGATTTTCAAGCCCTTGCGACGCCCGAGGTTCCTGCTGGGATTTCCGCGCGCGCGACGGCGCGCGCGCGTGCATTTCGCTCCGTCTTTTTTCAAGGGATCGCCCGGGCAGTGCGCGCAATGGCCTTCGAGCGACGCCGATGCGCGCGCGAGAGGCCTGTTTAGCACGAAGTTCTAAATCATTTCAACGGGCTATTGTTTTCCAGGAATTCGCGAGAGCGCGGAGGGGCACGTGATTCATTGTCTGGCAGGGGATGTGCGGGGGGGGCGTTTCTGGTTTGGCGGGGGCGACATGAGTTCGCATTCAGGATGGGCGATGGGCAGAACTAGATTCACAGTGCAATGCGAATAAGTAGCCCGCTATGTCTGGGGGAGGTCGATCCGAATCCACTTGCGCCATCTACGCGGCGACACCTGCGCGGCGCGATCCGATGTTCATCTCGAAATTGTCAACTTCCCTGCTCGCGCAATCAGCACGCCCGCCCACCCGCAACTTGGTTTGCAAAGCCCATGCAGCGGCGATTGCGATGAGGGCTTGGCGTTGGCTGGTGCATCGGCGCGGCCGCGCAGGCCCGCGCATGCTCGCGCGCGAAGCGGCCAGCTAGTTTGGCGCTGCCGACGCGTCCGCGGTGGCGCTGACCGCCGGGCATTTCCCAGCGGGCGAGTCGGCGACTTGGGCGGGCGCGGTATCACGGCGACGTCGACAACGGTAGACACCATGCCATGATGGTAGTAGTGGTGCTGGTGTCGATGATGACAACGACGACGGCAAGGCCAGCGACGGCGCCGATGCTGATCCCGCCGACGACGATGACGGCGTCCTCGCGTCGGCCGTGCAGGTCTTGGAAGGGATTCGGCATGCGTGCGTGGCCGGCATGTGAGGGTGGCCCGCGTGGTGCTACATGACACGGATCGTACCCCCCCCCCCAGCACGGGCGCAATGGCTTTCGAATAATTTCGGCGTGCGGCGCGAGAGGTCCGTTTGGCATAATGCCATGAACAACGGCTTCTGTTTTTTATGCAAAAGAGTCGCAAAATCGCGACCGCTGGCTTTTTCTGTTGTTTGAAAGTTGTTGTTACAATGCCGTTTTTTGTTTGTTTGTTTGTTTTGTTGTTTATATTATTTGTCCGGGACAGTCGATTTTGATACCGCTACGACATATGAGTATCTAGAACGATGGTGGCATGCTCGCGCGACGACGCGCGCCGGTGCATTTCGTCTTGCTTTTGCAGCGGATTCTTGCGACAGCATGGCGCAAGGGTGTTCGAACGATTTTGACATGCGCGCGTCAAGTCCGTTCGGTAGCATTGTTATGAACATGTATTGAGAAACGTATGGTTTTCCTCAAGGCATCGCAAAAGGCGCGCGCAAGGTTTTGTTTGAAATCCGTTGTTGCGAAACAGTTTGTTTCTTTATGTTTCTGCGACACTCGGTTTTGAAACTCCCACGAAACCGGAAACCAGGACAGGTTTTTGACGGGTTTCGGTATGCGCGCGTGACGACGCGCGCGCTTCGCTCCACTGTTTGGAGGGAACTGTGGAACATTATTGTTTTTCATAGACGCGTCTGCGCGCATAGTATTATTTGACAGAAATGAGGGCGGGGGGGTCGACACCGGGATCGTTTGGGATGGCACGATTCATTTATAGAATGGACGATGGGGCAGAATCGTGTGGAAATTGCCATACGAAGTGGCGGCCGCTAGCCCCAGAGGGGGGAGATCCGAATTCGAAACGAGAATTCACGTTGTGCAATTTAGGCGGCGGCGGGGCTGCGACGGCGATTTCGCAGCCGCCAGACCGACAATCAGGCCCAGACGACGGGCGGCGACGCTGCGGCGTCAGGGCGGCGACGGCGAGCACGGAACCGCCAAACCGACATGCATGCCCAGACGACCGGCGGCGACTTCGAGCACGGAACCGCCAAACCGACACTCAGGCCCAGACGACGGGCGGCGACGGGGCGGCGACGGCGAGCACAGAGCCGCCACACTGACGTTCAGGCCCGCGTCTTTAAAATAATAACACACACTGTTTGGGGACCAGGACATCTTTCCATCATAACTTTCACAGACCTGTGCCACCAAAGGGGGCGGCGGATCTCGTTATTCCCATATTGTTTTTTCTCCTTCCCAATACAGAAACTCATAGGCGGAAATAAACATAGGTGGCTTTCATATTAACAACGATTTGTTATGATAGGCGATATTGCATGACAGAATATGTTTCATAAGAGTTACAACAATGTTCGATTGTTTGCATGGGGGGCTGGATCAGATGTGATATATTTTGCCCTGACATTTTTTTTCTGAGAAGATGTTTTACGAGAGACGACTTCTATTGAGACACTGCATGGAGCGCTCGGGGGCGGCGGATCTCGTTATTCCCATATTGTTTTTTCTCCTTCCCAATACAGAAACTCATAGGCGGAAATAAACATAGGTGGCTTTCATATTAACAACGATTTGTTATGATAGGCGATATTGCATGACAGAATATGTTTCATAAGAGTTACAACAATGTTCGATTGTTTGCATGGGGGGCTGGATCAGATGTGATATATTTTGCCCTGACATTTTTTTTCTGAGAAGATGTTTTACGAGAGACGACTTCTATTGAGACACTGCATGGAGCGCTCGTCGCGCCCAGATCTGTCCAGAACAAATCTCGTGAAAGTCGCCAGATGTAAGCCGCGTGGTTGGTGGTCGCGCTGTCGGCACTGCGCTGTAGAGAATACGCTGTTGATTGTCGACAATGCTACCCCTTTTCTCTGTCTGCTTCTCTCGCCTCTCACTACTTCCTACTTCTTTTTGTCGCTTCGGCGCTGGGGCATCCCCCAGGTGAGAGTATCATATGCGACCTACTTCGGCCAGGAGATATCTCAGGAGGAGACGGGGCTCGGCGCGAGCGCACGTGCTGCGGGATCCATGTGTTCGGGAGTCCGATGCTTGAGGTCGGCGCCCTGCATCCAGTTGCCAGGGTTGGTGCTAGATTTGTTGGAGTAAGGGGTCTCCTCTCCCGTGCATCGCATGTGGGATCTGGGTGCCAGGTTGTCGAGGCGTTCGTGCCCTTCTCGTGACCGGCCAACTATTGGGAAACAGGGCGCGGTTGTAGCCCGCCCAGGCTGCCGCGGCGTCGTGGGGCAGGCCAGGGGGCCCAGGGGCACGGACATGTCAGGACGCTTCAGAGCTTAGATGGGGAGTTCAGGACGCGTGCAGACAGGGTCGCGCAAAACTGCTGATTCAGCCGATTTCCAAACTCGATGTGACCACGATCTTCCCCGGCGGAGCAAAACTCCTCATGCAGAAGAGCATGTAGGGGATTGTCCTTCAGGGGCGCTTGAAGCTGTTTTCCCTCTATTTCGTGTGGACGATTTAGGATGAGTCCGGAGTGTTTCCCTTGTGCGGGCGACTTAGGATGAGTCCCGAGTGGTTCCCCTGTGTGGGCGACTTAGGATGAGTCCCGAGTCTGTTCGTATTGTTCGTCTCCTTGCAATCACGACGGGAGGGATTCGACCAATTGGCTTGCAGGCAATTTTTCTCGACAGGCCTTCAGTGCGTCACCATCGCTCACTGCCACTAGCTCGCTCGGGCCAGGGGTAACGCACTGAGGACACTTTTTGCGAGGGCGTAGGGGCTACTATAAAATGCGTTAGTTTTCCAGTGACTTCCGTAGTACCGGGCACATACACATACACACATAGTGATCTATCAACGCTGTTCTGTATTCCCCGCCATCCCGACAAACCACACACATCATTGAACATCATGTTGCCGAGCGGGAGTGGTGAGCGTTTTTCATCTTGTGATCGTCGCGGATTCTTGATTAGGCGTACAGTGTGATGTGATTTTGCCCTGCCTCGTGCCAGAGCCCAAGGTCTGTGCGCGACGGGCATGCACAACCCCAGTGTCTGTTCGTGCCATGCGACATCGCACGGCGGAGCATGCTGCATGGTTGCTTGATGTCTGCGGTGCATGCGTTTCCATCGAGCCAACTCTTTTGCGCGCTCCGGAAGGAGCCTCGCCTTCGAGGGCCCGAGGAGCTGGCACCTCTCCCTCGGCGGAAGGGGGGCGGCAGCTGGCAGACATAGAATCGCGGCGGCTCCGCCGGCGGAAGCTAGCGGCAGAAGTAAAAATCGCGGCCTCCTCCATCTCGTGCTTGCCTTCCCCCCCTTGGGGCACCATCCGTTTTCGGTTGCGCCGCGGTTTCTGCGGTAGTTTTTAGTTGCCCCCGCGAAGCTTCCTTGGGAGTGGGAGTAGCGTCCAAAGAAGGAAGGCCGGCGGAAGTAACAATTGCGCCCCCAAGGATGGCAACATTTTTGTGTTCAGACGATCCGCAACCCGGCATGTGCCCCGCAGCAGCGGGCGCACAGTCTCGCAGTTGGATGATCAGTTTTTCGTGGCACGGCACGCGCCGTGGCGCAGGACGTGGCAGAGATCTTCTCCCACCTCGACCTTGACGGCACTGGCAGGCGCCCTTGCCGAGAGTGGGACAACGGGTCGGGGCAACGATTGGGGGGGGGATGGGCTCCGGGAGGAAGGCATTGACCCCCAAATCGTCCATTGATCGCCGACAGGGGCCTGATAGCCCACCCCGCCCAGGAGCGTGCGGATTTGCTGTCGGGGGCTTATCACCAATCCTTCGGCGGTGCGTCGCCGATTCATGTCGAAGTTTCTCCCCTGAGCCAGTCCACCACCCCTTTCGTTGCCCCTCACAGACCTCGATCGATCTGGAACCGAGGATCGGTTGAGGATCCTCGAGGATCCTCGATCGAGCGGATCGGGGATTCTCGCCTCGAGGCCCGATCGAGGCTGCCCCTCTCGGCCCTCCCTCGCGCTGCCCCTCTCGCGGGGCTCTGCATGAAGGAGGTCGGCACAGACGCTTCCTCAGACCCCCCCCCCCGAGGGTGCTCGGGCCGAGGGGGGGCGTCGCGGCAGGGGCGCCTGCGGCCCGACGGGCCGCCGCGCTCGTGCGGGCGCGTCTCTTGGCCCTCGGGCCCTCTTGCCGGCGGGGGGCGGAGGAGCGGGGGAGTGGTACGATCGAAACGGGTACGGAAAGAATGGGGACGAAGACCACAAGCGGTTCCTGCCAATGTTCAGCAGGACTCGCTGACGACGTCGCCGCGGACGCCGTCGATTCGAGACGGAAGGCGGTCTGCCCAACAGCGGCCGTTGCCGTTTTTGGACAGTATTTGTGGTAGGGCATCGGACCATTGTTTTCGTACCCATTCTGTGCGTCCAAAGTCATGGGCGTGTTCGGAAGGGGAAGGGCTCAGGGGGGATGTGTCTACCCCCGATAGCCCATTTGACCGGTTGCCTGCAGCAAGTCCCGCTAGCGTGTCAGCCCAGCATTCTCAATGGCAGTCGCTCGTATCGCAGTGTGGATGATGAGGACAAGCTTAAGGATGACGGTGAGGGGAGGAGGAGGATGAGCGGGGGAGGATAAGGAGCAGGATTGTGGCGGACGAGGGAAACAACAACATGATGATGATGGTGGATGATGGTGGTTGTGGCGATGATGATGGGGTGGAGGAGGAGGAGGAGGAGGAGCAGGAGCAGGAGCAGGGGGAGGAGGAGAGGGCAGATGATGAGGATATGAGGATGATGAGGACGAGGTGGTGAAAACGATGATCTTCATGATGATGGCGATGATGATGGCAATGATGATGGTGATGGTGATGATGAAAATTGAGATGCTGATAAGGGGATGTTTAGTATGATAATGATGATGTAATGATGATGATGACAATACAATGGGGGTGCGCGCATCAAGAAACCATATGTTTTTCGTCAGGGTATCCTGGGTTTCTTTGCTCCGCGCGCTGCGCTGTGACTTCCCGCAGCCGTTGAAGGAGCGGCTGCGTTCATGGTGCTCCAGGTTTCCCCTCCGGTGCACTTCGCGCGCGGGTTTTCAGGGCTGAGTTTCTTGCGAGGGGTTTTTGCGGCTGCGCCCGCACTGTACTGATGAGGATGATGAGGACGATGATGTCGTGGGATTATGATGATGCCTATGATGATGACGATGCCGATTATGATGATGATGTTGTTGGTGATGCTGATGATGCTGTTGTTGATGATGCTGCCGCTGCGGATGATGATAAGGAGGATGAAGAGGATGCTGTTGCCGATGTCGATTGTGATGGTGATGGTGGTGATGCTTATGATGATGGTGATGGTGGTGATAATTATGATGGTGGCGACGACGGAGAGGGTGATTACGATGATGGTGATGATGATGGTATCGATGATGAGGCTGATGATGCTGATGATGATGTTGCTGGTGATGATGTTGATGATGGTGATGGTGATGATGCTGGTGATGATGATGATGATGATGATGATGATGATGATGATGATGATGATTATGAACATGATGCTGATGCTTATGATGATGTCGCTGATGGTGATGCTGATGATAATACTGCTGGTGGTGTTGATCTTGATGCTGATGCTGATTTTGATGGTGGCACTGCAGATATTCTGGTGATGATGGTGATGATGACGAGGATAATAATGCGTGGGAGGAGGAGGGTGAATCTGAGGATGAATAATCAGTATTAAGACTAATCATACTCATACCATAAGAAGAAGAGGAGAAGAGCCGTCACATGTTATACCTTTCGTCTTCTCTTCTCCAGGAACTCTCACGGCTGTCAGATGGGCCGTCTTGGGGCTGACGTGGGCTTTTGAGGGGCAGTTTCGATCTTCAGGGTCCCTTGGAGCCTTCTTGGCCCGTCTTGACGCCCTCTTGGGCCGTCTTGGGGCCCTCTCGGGCCGTCTTGGGGTCCTCTCCCTGCTGGGCTGTCTTGGGGCTCTCATAAGGCCTTCCTGGCCGTCCGGTGTATATGTCTCTCGGGGCCCTCGTAGGACTGTTTTAGGATCTCCAGGGTCCTCTTAGGCTATCTTGGGTCTCTCGGGATGCACTTCTAGGCCAGCTTGAGGTCCTCTTGGGTCCGTTTCAGGCTGTCAAGGGGCCCCGTTGGACTGTCTTGAGGTCGTCTTGGAAGCTTCTTGAGCTATCTTGAGGCCATCTCGGGCCATCGTTGGGCCATCTTGTAGGCCTCTGGGACCGTCTTAAGCCGACGGAAGCGCGATCCAGCGAGATCCAGGGAGAATCCGCCCCAAAAGTTCCAAACGAACATTAATGATTGTAGCCTCTTCGGGCCTTGCTGGAGGTTCTCGTGTAGTCCTCGTGGGCCGTCTTGGAGGCCTGTCGGGCCGTCTCGAGGCCATATTGTGCCATCTTGGGGCCACCATTGGCCGCCTTGGATGCATCTTGGACCGTATTGGCGGCCTTGTCTGGGCCGTATTGGAAGCTATCTTGGGCATTTTGGACGTCTTGGGGAGCGCCTGGGAGCCGTCTAGCAGACCAGAAAGCCTCGGGCGGGGCGATGTACGCAGCGAATTGCTTGTGTAGGGGGGAGGGGGGAGGGGGGGGAGGGGGAGGGGTCCATAGAAGATTGAAGAAATCCTACCAGCACTTGGCAGTCTATCGCGCCTCGACGTGCCAGGGAGCAGGGAGGGGGCCTGTAGCCTACCCCGCAGAGGAATCGCTATCGGGGGCCTAGTTATCGCCGGTATATCGGCGATGTGTCGACGATTCCAGCTCGATGCCCCCCCCGTATGAGCCGGTCCCCCCCTGTCGTTGCCCCTCAGGACGGGGCCTGGAGGAGGGAGGAGGGGGGCTGCAGGGAGGAGGGGAGAAGGGAGGATGGAGGGAGTAGAGGGGAGTCATGAGAAGGAAGAAGGGAGGGAGGAGGGAGGAGATGGGAGTGATGAGAGGGGTCCGTCGGCGCTCACGAGATCTACACTGATTTTGCTTCGCCTCCTCGGCCTCACTCCCTGAGCACCTGGCGCTTCACCAGACCCCCCCTCTCATCCTTGCACACTTGGGTTGATGCTACAGTTCAGTGCATGTGTGGCAGCAGTGAAAGAGTCTCTGCTGAGCTTGCTGGAGTTGGACTTGATTTGGTCCAGGGGCTGCGCGCTCTCAGGCTCCAGATTGCTCCGAAGCCGGCCATCATCTCGTCCTCCTGGGGTCTGGCCGTGAGACGTGAGGATTTCTTCGCGGAGCAAGGAGTCAGCGGTCAGGCCAAGCGTAGAGCAGCTGATCTAGGAATCGATCGAGGCCAGGTCAGTGCGAGCAGACCCAAGCAAGGTAGGCGACGTGCCGGGGCGGAGCGTAGGCTCCAGCGCCTCAGCAAGCTTGGCAAGGGCACCCGTCTATGTGAGAACCGGGCCCGCAAGACGGCCTTGACTTCAGCCTTCTCCAGGGCTAGGTATTCCAGTGAGGTCCATGGCACCCCCCTCTAGCGTGGTTCTTGGTTGGCGGAGAGCGCTCGGGAGGCTGACTGGGGGAGTTTCCAGAGGTGGACGCGGCGTCTGACGACCCTTCTTGCTCTCTAGGGTATGGTAGGAGAGACACAGCCTTTTCCGCCATGTTCCACACTATCGACGCTTGGTTCCAGATTTTAACCCACTCCAGCTTCGATGCTGAGGAGACTAGGCGTGTCTGGAGGAAAATGCGCACCAAGATGGAGGCGGAACCATCAGGAAACAGATGGCGAGGAGTAGGCACTCCTGCTGTTGCCACCATCGCCACTCTGCTGGATGTGGGTTGGAAACCTTGGGGTCCCTGGGCTTGGGAAAGTGACCTGGGGGAGCGGTACGCGATCTCGGAGACCAGGCAGGCTTGAGCGTGGCAACGTTGACCTCGCTGATGTGTTTGAAGACACAGCCCAGAGTAAGGAACGGCAATTGTGGACGGCGGCAGCCACCAACTCGTGGAACGGGTCAGGCCTAGAGCTCGTTCCAGATCTGTTTGATTTCAAGCGCCAGTTGAAGTGGTTGGCCAAGGAAGGAAATTTGAATGGCGTGGAGTCTTGCGGGCTGTGGCCACAGGCAATTTGGCCGCGCGCGAGGCTTCAGGAGTGTGGACTGACTCAGGACAGCGCTTGCACACGTTGTGGTGAGCTTGTGGAGTGTGACGTCCACAGCCTGGGGTTGTCCTGAGAACACTAATTTCTCCTAGGTTTCCGATTTCGTCCGCAGGAGAACCCTAGCGGACCAGAAGAGTAACCCTAGTTTTTGGCTGCGTGGGTTGACGCCGCACAGCTGGACCGCTGTACCCCCCGACCCTGGAGAGCGAAGAGTTCCAGGCCTTTGGGGAGGATCTCCGAGGGGCGGTGGTTGATTGTTTTGTGTTTGGATGAGGTGATGCCAGCGAGGGGCCTGACTCGCAGGACCCAGCTCTCCGTCGTGTCGCCTGGTCCTGGGTTGTTGTTAGAGGCCTTCGTGAAGGGGGTCAGTACAATCCTAGAGAGCTCACGGCACACGCAGTGGATTTCGGGAATGTGCCAGGCTGGGGACAGTCGGTCAACAGGGGGGAAGCATTCAGTCGGTTGCATTTTCTCAAAGCTGTCCTCCCTGTTGCCGACGGCTTTTTCGTGACAAACTCATCGTATGTAGTGGACAGTTCCGTAAGGTCCGCAGTGGGATCTATCCTAAGTCACACCCCGATGTGTGGCAGAGTGTCGAGGACATCCTGGAAGAGCACCCCACGAGAGGAGTTGTGTTGGCCAATGTGGAGAGTCATATATCAGTGAATGATGTGAGTGACCAGGGAGCCGACCCATTATTTTATATGTTGAATGAGATGGCCGACAGTAGTACTGAACAGTGGGCCGTGAACCTCCGTGTGCCAGAGCAGCACAGGGACAGCAGGTCCTACGCACAAGCGATTTCCTTCCAAGTCCAGCACCTGGGCCATTCTTTTCTTGCGTCTGTCGAGGCCGATGTAATAAAGCGCCGAGGGAAGCCACTCTCCGTCCCAGATTAAGGATCAGCTCTTGCTCGCAGCCCATCAGCCAGTCATGGGTATCGGCTCCCAGGTCAGGTATCACACGCGTGGAGGATGCTCGCCATACAGGATGGCATGTAAATGTTTAGCGGCCCCGTGCCACCAGGGTTTGTTTACGGGCGGGATGATGGGGCCCAGCAAGAGCACAGTGAATGGCACAGACATGCACAGCTCCCATACCATAAGGAATGTGGCTGTGTGGCCACACAGGCCGTTCGTAATTCGGCTGAAGTATGTCATAAGCAGTCGTTTCGTTCTCCTTCCCTCTTCCTTCTCCGCCTCCCTCCTCCGAATCGTGGTGCCGGTTTGTAGTTCCAGGCATGTTGGTCTGTTCTCGCGCTTTTTCTCCCCGGCTTCGACCAGTTGGACTGCCACCGCGAAGCGGGTGCGCGTCCACTTTTGGGGTCGAGGCTCGAGGCGATTGTTATTGCACGCTCCATGCCGATGGCCGGAGCAGGGCTGTCTATGTGCATGCGATTGCCTGTGCCTGTGGGCCGCTCCTCCTGCTTGGGGCCGCTCCAGTCCCGCGCCGTCATTGCCGTAGGCCCTGCTCTTTGTCGGCAAGGTCCCATCATTTTGAACAGAACTCTATTCGAATAACGCCCCCAGGACACGTGCGTTCGCGGTTGCCCATATCTTCTGCAAGGGGTCCCAAAGTCCACCAGTGCGTTTCAACATCCCCGCATGTTCTGTGTTCTCCACCTCTTGCTCTCCGTCTCGGCCTCCTCCTCATCCGCCGAGGGTTCCTGTGCGAGTGCCGTCCGCCCTGGCCAGTCTGCGCACGCGCGAGTCTCTTTGGCTGCCGCAGTTGCCTCTCCTCTCCTCGCCTTCTTCCTGCCCAACCCGAGCCGGGAGCGATCGTGCTTTTTCTTATGCTACGCTCGGCGTTGTGATCGGCCGTCGTTACGTGTCTTATATAAGCGGTTGACGCCGCTAAGGTTTCGCACGCAATGCATGTTGTCGATTCTTGCTGGCGCTGCGAGTGGTTGTGAGAATTCTGTCCGAATCGTTTCCCTCAGCTTCCCCCCTTCTTCTGCGCTGGGAAAAAAGTATCGTTTGAATAGAAACGGCAATAAGGAATTGACGAAACTGCAACAAGGCCTGCCCCTGGTTGGTCAAAGCTTGCCAGGAGTCAAGTGACCCAGAAAAAAAAGGTCATGCGATAAACTGTTCTACTTTGCCTGAGGCAGGATCGAAGAAAACCCACCCGGCAGCGATTCCTAGGCCAGTTGCCATGCTCAGGGAAGCAGAGCAGCAGACAGTGACGTGGAGAGGGAGGACCTCCGACGCATCAGCAGTGCATACCTCTACAGAAGCGTTTTTACCTCCTCGCGATCACGGGCGTGACCAGGGGGGGGAATAGAGGGAGGGGCCTGTCCCGTCGCGATTCGCGCCAGCTCCTTGTGGGAATGTTGAGGGATGGCTAATTCCAGACGACGCTGGCGCGAGTCGCGACGTGACCAGGAGGGGGAGTGCGGGGCCGGGGCGTAAAACGAACGCCGGTTCTAAGAGCTCTTCGGAGGCCCTAAAGGTTGACTCTTGAGCTTCCTTGTTGAGCTTTTCTGACAGTGGGGCGGAGCGAAAATAGCAGTGGTCAACCACGAATGCCTTCGCTTTTTGGGGGTTTGTCTCGTGTATGTGTTGCCGTGGTTTTCCAAGTTTTCGGGTGTCTTTTTGTGCTCAGTTGAAGTCTTCTTCGGGGGCAGACTTCCAAACCAGACCGGCTGCGCCCTTGCCAAAGCAGGCTGGGTTGTCACCATGATTCCCTTGCCCGTTACCAGAAATTCACCCGAACTGTACCACGAGCAGTTCAAATGGGTTTCCAGGGACAACCAATCAGGAAGAATGATCCCAGTGGATTGTTTGTTGTTTCGCATTGTCTTCCTTGTGTCGTCCCCTTCCCGTTTTTCTTTACCTCATCCTCCTTGCAGGAAGGATCCGCAGTCTTTGTCCGTCTTTCCTCTGGATCCCGCCGAGAATCTCCGCTTTTGTTACGTCGCCTTCGTCCTAATCTGGGCCTGGCTCGATCGTCGTGCCGTCGCATCTCCAGCGAGGGAGGCGATGGGAGCGTATGTAAGGGAAGGAGGGGGGCGAAGAGGGAAGACTATTCAGAGGTGAGAGAACGTAGATGAGGAAGAATGTCGATCTTGACACGGATTTCCCCCGTCATCTCCTTCTCCAAGGAGCTGCGCCAGTCGTTGTGCCGAGGGCCGGGGCCTGGGGCTAAGAGATAAGCGACATCGAGGGCGAGCCGGCGGAATATCGGCCAGGAGGTGGAGTGGTGGCCGTCGTCGTCGTCCAAGGATCCAGCCACGCGCAGAGGGGGGTGGGGGGAGGGGGGGGGGCGTCTTAGAAGCACCCCTGCTTCTTAGAAGGCGCGGGCCTTCTCTATGGATGTAAGGCCGGCGCCTTCTAAGAAGCAGCCTCCTTCTAAGAAGCCCTCCCCCCTCCCCCCACCCCCTTGTGCGCGCCGCCAAAGGATCCAGGGTCCAGGAGTTGCGGATCGAGCTTTTGGGGCGGTTCTCGCGTGGCCTCCGTGGGCCTCCAGGGACCTCGCTGGAGGCCTCTGGCAGCGGCCGTCAGCGGGCATCGGCGGCTGACGGCGGCCCTCGGCGGCCTTCGTTTCACAGGCCACGGTCGGGAGGCGTGGGGTGAAGAGTCACGTTTGTTTGCCCGCGTCCCGAACCCAACGGTGTTTTGGCGATCTCGTGGGCCGTTTTCGTTTTGATCTCATTCTGCAGCGAGGGTGGAACGGAGACAGGACGAGGGAAAACGAAAGCAAACCGATCATGGAAACCACCATTTAGCTCGGACCCTGTTTTTTTTCTGTGCACTCTCGAGCCGTTGTGGCAGTTGACGGCCTTTTTTAGGCCCCCTTGAGGGACACTCTTCTGTATCCGGGTTGCCCCCGCGTCTCCTCCCCTCCATGCCGCAGGCCTAGAAGCTGGCACCAACACGAATATCGGCGGTGTGCTTCCACCGAGGGAAGAAGATCCCGATCTCGGTGATGGTGGTAAGATTCTGGCCTCCAAGGCGGCTGAGATATTACCACCAACACCAAGGTCTGGCATCATCTTCCCCCCTGTGGAGGCAACACCCTGTGTCGGTGTTGGTGTCCAGTTCCAGGCCTCCAGCCGTGTTCTTGTCCGCCAGGGGAGGGGCCTCCTAAGAAGGCCCCCGCCCCTCGCACCATCCCGTGGCAGGTCGGTCGAGAGGGGGGGAGAATCGGGGAAGGGGCCGGCTGCGCAGCCTGCCGCATGCGGCCCGTTCCGGCCCCGCCACCCCACGCCTTCCTTGACACCTGGGCGCCTCCGGCGCAGGGAGGCGCTAGGGGAGCAGGCTTCGGCGCCTGGGCGCCTCTGGCGCCACGTGCGGCCTATTCACCGACCCCCCACAGGTTGGAGCCAGCACTATTACTGGCGGTGTGCCTCCACCGAGGGAGGAGGACTCCGATCTCGGTGATGGTGGGAATACAGCGAAATACCCAGGCTTCCTGGGTGGCCGAAATTTTACCACCAACGCCAACACCGAAAATCATCTTCCTCGGGTGGAGGCACCCCCTGCGTTGGTGGTGCCAGTTGCCAAGCCTCCAATATGCCTTCGCAACGTGGACACCCGGAGGTGTCGACCCCTTCCCTGGGATTGGCTCTTCATCCCGAGTCGTCCTCGGACAGCGCCCAGTGAAGGCCCCCTGAGGCCGAATTGGTTGGACCCTGGACACCTCCCGTCGCGAAGACGCCCGGCTTGCAAGCACTTGCAACGCCAGCATCTCAGGGTGGTATGTCCTTCTGTGTCCCCTGGGCCCCTCTCTCGGCCCCCCAATATTTAGAGCCGGATCGATCTGCGAGGCTTCGGGGCCCGACCACGGGCGAAGATTCTTGGTGCGAGAACAAATTGCAACGCCAGGGTCTCAGGGGAGGATACAGCCAAGACGCCCCCAAAAAGACGGCTCGGGAGGGGCTCGAGTCAGCGGGCCGTTCTTTTATACTCCTGTCGTGGAGCCTGCTTCTGTGGCCCAGGCCCGCCGTGGCCAGACGTCTGACGAGTCTCCGTTCCGTCCGATAGGCGTTCCCGAGGACAGCACGCTGGCTGCACGTCCTTCTGCGCCCCCCCGTCCGAGGCGGGAATTTCTGCATGACCACCGCCTGGAGGCTCAGCTTTCGGAGCCTTGGCAGGCGGTGGATACGGACAGATTCGGGCCCCCGGGGGCCGAAATATAGTCAGATCCACCGCCCGCTGGGGCACCAGGACGTCGGCTCCCCAAGGGCGCCCTCGAGGGCGCGAAGTCATTCGCGCTTCGCGCTTCGCGGTTCGGCTCCGATTCCTCCTCATCCTCTTCTTCTCCCCTGGGAGGCGGCGCGAGAGC